TTGTGCAGTCAATAGTCAGCTGGCTTGTCCCTCTTGGCCAAAACCTGGCCTGCTGAGTTGCAGGTGAAGAAGAATTTTATATTTCACTGCAAGCTTGGAGCTGAGCTTGGAGGATTTTACCCCAAAGGCAGTGGAATGTGTCAACACACTCATTCTGCCCACAAAGTGCTCTGCCCTGTAATTGGAATGGATTATATAATTCAAATATTTTGAATTCAGGATGAGATGATGAAAGGAATGGAATTTGTGAGTGATGTGAAAGAGCTTTCTGCCTTTTAGCAAGGCCCACTGGTTCAGATCATGGTAGTTGCTGAAGAACCTTTTGGCAAGGTTGGCGGCTTGCAAGAACTCCTCAGAAGTAGGAAAAAGCAAAATTGCATCATACAGATCAGCAATCTGAATCAATGCTTCTAGGCAGGCCAGCATGGCTTGATGAATGGGGTCATCTTCTGGCAGAGCTTCTCGCAACACCTGCAACAGACAGGGCAGCAGGTGCTTAGTCTCAGCAGCCTTTGCCTCAAGGCACGCAAAGCTTTTGTGAGGCTTGGCAGCATCAGGGCAAGTCATGGAGAGGCGAAGGTTGGTCAACCTGGAGGAGACCTGATTTTGGACATAGAGCTCCTTAATTCTGCCAAACAGCTTTTGGAGCCTTTGGCTGGGTGGCACTGCCTGCCTTGCTTTCACACCATCAACGTAGCACAAGTAATGGATCAAAGAGCCTGCAAGGTGTGAAGCAACTCCTCTGGAGTACAGGATGTGGAGGGAGTCTCCTCGCACCATGGCTGCGCTGATGCCTGGCACCGGAAAAAGTGGATGGGCACTCCTTTTAACAAGGAGGGCTTGCTCAGGGGAGACATATACAAACTTTTGATCAGCTTGCCTGAGAAGCTTGACACTCTTCCCATCAGGACACTTAATGCCCTTGAATGCAGGCTTTTGGGCATCGCATTCTGCACAGGGGAATTTGTTTTGCCAGTGTGGCATCTTCAAGATGTTTGAGAAGAATTCTTGGTCACCCTGTATGCTGTAGATGCAAGCTCTGTGGTTGCCTGGTGTCAAGGGCAGGCCAGCCAGCTCTGCCAGTGAAGGTGGCAGGCCATTCCCATATGGATCTTGGGAAGGGTGCGTGCCTTTTATCAAGGCTGCAAAGCTCCAGGCAATCCAGTCAGGAAGAGGCCCCCAAGTTGTGGGCACAGAGCAGTTCTTTGGAAAGGCAACCAGGAGCAGGTGGGCTGCTAAGCTCTCCTTTTGGCTGAGCAAAGGGCCCCATGACCATGTCATCAGGCTGTCTCGGATTTGGTATTCCACACCATCACCATGAACAAAGATAGGGCATGTGTGGGAAGGATCCCTGACCCTTTTACCAAGGGTGATTGGTGGGGCAAGCCTGGGGTCCTTGGACCTCTCAGCACAGTGCCAAAAAGATTCTGCTTCATTGAAGCAGAACAGGTCCAAGAAAACCTCTGTGTAGTGCTCAGCAATGTTGCTGAAAAGAATGTGGGGAAGAAACAGGGAGGCTTCTTCCGTGGTGTGCTTCCTGGTGTTGGGGTCAAGGACATCAACAGTGACTGGCATTGGGTCACATACTTTGATGTTTTTGCAAAAGTGGCTGACCAAGTCCCTGTGGGCACTGCCAGGGTTTTGGCCAAAGTTACCACATTTGGCCAAGGCCATGGTTTCAGCAGAGGAGCTTCCTTCCAAAATGGCCAAGTGTGCTATCTCTGCAGCCTGGACTGCTGATATTTTTCCCAGGGACCAAAGTTCAAGCAGCCTTGTGCACAAAGGGCTGGACTTGTTTGGCTCAAGCTTTTCATCCTGTTCACAAGGATGTTTTCTTGACTGGTCTAACTTCCAGCCTTTCAGCCTTTTGGGAGGCCTCTCCATGGCAAATTCCCCTTTTATCAAGGGGGCTGCCTTTTATCAAGGCCATCAAATATTATAAGTTACCCTGGAGCCAAAGGGCCTGCGTTTCAAGCATGATGCATGCTAGCCCTTGGCACTCAAAGCAACCCCTTAAAAAACATGCTGACCTTTTACACCCCAAAGCCTTTGGGGGTTGGTTCAACAAGCAAGCCCCAGAACAGACTATACTATTTCTTTGTGTTTGGAACCTTCCCCCCCCCCCACCCCATCCCTTCAGAGCACTTGGTGGAAAACTCTTTTTGCCTGTCGGTGCCAGCTGCTGCCAAACCCTTTTAGCAAGGGGGGTGGGATAGACACTTGCCATCCCTATCTAAACAGGTTCCCTTTCATCAAGGGCATTTGGGCTAGCATTGTAGCAAAGGTACCCTTTTAGCAAGGGTGTTTCCTAAGTTCACTTCTTGGAGCCCTTGCTGGCTTTGCTTCCAGCTTTGTTTGCAACCTGGTTGAGTTCTTTGGACTCTTCTTTGGCTGCCTTGACTGCTGTCATGGTATCCACAAGCACCTGTTTTGCTTTTTGCAAGGGCATTGACTGATCTTGCTTGGCCAAGATGTCTTTGACAACCTTTACCTTTTTGGCCAGAATTTCCAACTTGCTTGTAGTGTCTCTCTTGGCTGCTTTGGTTAACCTTTTAGCAAGGTCAGCTTTAGTGAGGGCAGCCTCACAATCATCTTTGGCCTGCCCAGCTTGGTCTCTTGCCCTCTTTGCTTTTACCAAGAGCTCCTTCCACTGTTCTTCTTCAGTTGTCTCTTCTAGATCATCTTCTGTGCCATCCTCCAAGGCCAACAAACCTCTTGGTTTTTTTGGTGTCTTTCCTTTTGTCTTTCCTTTGCCTTTCCCTTTTCCTTTTATCAAGGAAGATCCCTTGCCAAAAGCCCTCAAATGGCTATAGTTGTCCTTTTTCAGGAAACTTTGCCATTCTTGCTGGTCTTCTGCAGTCGGTTCATACTCCTGGCCTAATGACCAGTGCTGAGCCTTTTTCACATGGGTTTTTTTTCAAAGTCGCCTGTGTCTTGGTAATTCCACACATTTGGTGTGAGTGGGTCTGCTCTGTAAATAATCCTTCCTGACTCCATGTGGGCCCAGAAATCATCTTCCCCATGAAGTTCCAGCATCTTTTTCTCTGATACCCATTTTTCCCTTTTAGCAAGGGAGGTGGCGTGTTCCATGGACTCATTGTAGTGGAAGAACTTGGGGACCTCAGTCTTCACAAGGGCCAGTGCTGCTTCGAATCCCTTCTCATGCTTGCTCTTGTTCTGGAAATCGTCTTGTTCTTCTTTGGGCTTGCCTTTCAAGGCTGTTTGGTACTTGGACCAAACCCTGGTGTGTTCTTGCTTACCAAGCATTTTTCTCAACTCAGTAGCTGCCTCTTCAGGGGTGTCAGCCTCTTCCCCTGCTTTCTTAATCTTCTCTGCCAAGGTCATCTTGCCAAGTTTGGCCAAGTGTTTTTTTTCAGCTGCAATTTCATAGTACTCACAGCCTTCATGGCCTTCATGGCCTTTGTTGCACTTCCTTGGCCAGTCCCTTTTAGCAAGGGTTGCTTGATGATCCCTTTTTTCAAGGGAGAGCCCTTTGATGTTTTGGACTTTGCCTTTGGTGCCATTTCTTTTCCCCTTTCAACAAGGGGCAAAAATGCTGCAAGCTTGACAGGTGGGAAAGCTGCGGTGCACAAACAATGTTCCACGTGTGTGGGGTTTCCAAGCCTGGCCACATTTGATCAATTTTGATCAATTTTGATCAATTTTGGTCTATGTTGGTCAAATTTGATCAAATTTGATCAAAACCATGGTTTTGACCAAAACTGACCAAAATTGATCAAATTTGACCAAAATTGACCAACATTGATCAAAGTTGTGGATTTGGTTTCCTTCATACATTGGATTTGGAAACTGCCACAATGACATGAGATTCCATGCTGGTGACTGTGTTGTTTGCAAAGGGCTAGCCACATACACCAGTAAAAACAAGTTTCATCAAGGGCATTTGCCTTTTCTACAACTACAGCAAGTTGCAATTCTGCCCTTGGTAAAAGGGCACCTTGACAATGGAGACATGTGTCATACCCCCCACTCCCAATCCCAAAGAATCACTTGAGAGAAGGGCTTCCCAATTCAACCCCAACCCAAAAATGGTATTGACACCCTTCAGAAAAAAAAAAGGTTCCCCCAACCCAAGCCCCAAAGGGACCCCTGGAGAAAAGCACCCTTGAGAAAAGGGACCAGTTGCACAATTGAAACTGTTTGACCAGAAGCCCTGCCCAGTCCCTAGAAAAAAGCACCCTTGCACCCTTGAGAAAAGGGATCAGTTGCAAAATTGAAACTGTTTGACCCTGCCC